ATTAAATGTAGGTGCATGTACACTTGATCAGATCGCTCCTCCAAAGTTGACTTCGGAGGAAATCAAGTTGCCAAACCTATAGTCGAAACGGGTCTTGCGAAATCTGCGTAGGCGCAATGTCAAGAAGGCATGTGTATACTCGTCACGGACGACAAGTAAGTGACTGACATTCGGTCGGCAGTAATGATTTCCAAAAACGAACGCGTTCTTAGCAGCCCATCGATGGACGAAAGTGTTCTCGATGAAAAGATTCGAATTGGGCGATACTCGTCTTAATCTTAGGAGTCTTTAGAAAAAAAATTAAATAAAGAAAGATTTGATCGAACTCAACAATGTTTTCCCGGAATCCGTGCCATGCGATTTGTCTAAGGACAAAGGCTCTGGACATGAAATCGAACTGATACATGGTTGGAAGTACTGTGTCATAAAGCAGCGGCCTATTTCTTGTGAACAAGTACTTGCGACTGACGATTTCTTTGCCGATCGATTAGCGGCTGGTAATGTGAGGGAATCAACATCCCCACACATCTCTGTGACCTTCCGTGTGCGAAAGGCCACAGGAAGGTGGCGGATATTCCATACGTTAAACACTATAATGCTGCAAAGGTACCGGATCAAACGCCGATACCAATGAAGGACGTAGTCATAGATGGTATGGCAAAAAGCACCATTTTTTCGTCCATAGATCTGATGGATGGATTCAATCAGATCCTCATGCGTGAACGGGATATCTCTTACAGAGCAGTGAGCACCCCCAGCTATATGCTCTGGGAGTGGCTAGTGATGCTACAGGGGCTCAGTGACGCCCCCGCAACGTTTAACAGATGTGTTACAAATCTGTTGCCGTCGGTGCGCGATATTGCACCGAGCCACTTTGACGATATCTTCGTCCATAGCCGGGCAATGGATGCAAGGACGGACGCGGAGGTTCATAGAATCCATGTCCGAAAGGTTCTTACAGTAACGCGAGATCATAAGTTGTTAGCGAACCTCAAGAGGTGTATATTCACAGCGAGCGAGATATCATTTCTTGGCTGCATCGTGAATAAAAATCGTGAGTAAAAAGGTAGAAAATCGTGAGTAAAAAGGGTGTAAGCCCTGATCCGGAAAAGATCAGGGCGATTAGCGACTGGATTGTGCCAGTAGACGTTAAGGGATCTCAAAAGTTCCTTGGCTTGGCGGCGTACTTGCACAGATACTCGCGCAACTACGCCGATATGACCGTTCACCTCTTTCGTCGTTTAACTAGGAACTAGAAGTTATATGGTACGCTGAGTGTCAGCACTCTTTTGAAGGTATCAAGAAAATCTTGATGCAATCTCCTGTGTTGGCGATTGCAGACCTGGACAGACCATTCCATGTGGTCCGTGACGACAGCGTTTTCGCAATCGACTGTTTGTTGATGAAAAACGATGCAGACGGTGCAGAGCGCGTCTAGTATCTATCGCGTCAGCTGCAAGTGCTAAGCGTAATAGTTTATTGCATGACAAGTAACTACTTCTGATAAATTATGCAATGGCAAAGTTTAGCGTCTACATCCTTGGACATAGGTCGTTTGGAGTCTGCACGGACCAAGCGTCATTACGCGCGTCTGTAAACAGCCCACACCTCTCGCAATTGATAACGAGGTGGCTATTTTTTTTTGAGGATTGCAACTTTTTCGTGAAGTTTAAACCTGGACGAATCAATGTCGTCACAGATGCGTAATCGCTCCAAACCGATTACGAGTCAGCTGCGTAGTACAACAGTAGGGGTGATCCCACTGTAGCAACACTAGTCACTAGTATCCCGCCGTCAAATTTGCTCGACGAATTAACAAAAAGGCTTAGCAGAAATAAGGCTCTTTTGCAATTAATGGATCATCTGGTGACTCATTTCGTAAATGTTTCAAGGATTTACTGGCCTTTATCAATTCCATGAGGATAAATACAAAATGTGCAGCGGATTTCGGTTCTACACAGCCGTTTACGGAAAGATGCCTCGTGTTGTCGTCCCCAGTCAAAAACATTTGCGCTTGCGCATCTTGAACGAATGCCATGTCGCACCACCTAGTGGGCATCGTGGGATTGAAAGACGTATCTCACGGTCGCGACTTTTACTGATCCTGCCAGTATCATTTCGTTTATAAGTACATTCGTTATTGGAAAGCATTCCATGTTAAAGTTCCGTTCCTTTACCCTGTGCGGCACTAACTCCTCTACAAATTTCGGCAGACTACTGGAAATTCGCTTCAATCTTATTCGTTCCCGCGACGACACTCGCAAGAATAGTGGTATTCTTGTGTTCGTAGACCAATTTAGCAAGATGTTACATCTTGCTGCAGTTAATGAGTCAATTTTATCCCATGGTCGTGCCCTTGTCTTCATTGACACGGTATTATGAATCCACGGTCTACACTGATAACTTGATTCTAATACATGTACTTTGTTCACGGCGGCGTTTTTACAATCCGTGTTTCGATTCCTCGGAACACGTCTGGATATGTCTACTTTTTACCATTTTAAGACTTTGGGTTTGACAGAACGCGTCAATCGCGTCCTCAAAGATTTTAGGATGCGTCCAGTCTTTCACAAATGGATCAAATTTTGGACGATGTTGGAATTTGCAATCAACAACCTCGTGCATACGTCTACAACACATACACCAATTTCCGTAAGCGGCTTAATCCATACACACCTTCCAGCAAATTTAGAGCGTGACTCTGATTCATAGAAGAGCGGTTTTCGATCAATAAAAAATTAATCCGCCTCTTGCTCATCACGTGTCGAGGAACTCGACGACGCGAACGTTGCTGATGTTGATCTGATCGACATCGAGGAAGAAACCTCAGCAAAAGCGACTTCACAATGGCTGAGCCGGATATAGATACGATGCGGGTGTATTTAGCATTTTTAATGACAACACCAGCGAGGGTGAGAAAAATCTTGCTGAAGCAGAAGATAAAAATTTACTATTATGCACAAGGCGCTCTGAAAAAAATTACTGTGAGTCAGCAGACATTTTCTTGATGGCACGAGAAGCGGTGGTTCATTTTATGCAAGACTTCATCGCTTACACGGTAGTGCGGAAGAAGCCGAACGCTGACAAACATGGAAGAGCCAACGTTATTCTGTTAAAAGTTAAAGACTTAGTTCTACCGTCTACACAAATATGTGCATAAGCACGTGGTAACTAATGTGGTTACTAGTAAACTAATCCTCAAGAACACATCAGGCCTTTTCGTGTACTACATCGCAAAGATAAAACATCGGTTCCTTTCGTGAATCATCGTAAAGGTAATGCGTTGACGATCGAGTTACCTCGCAGGATACGTACGCCTCCTACGCTCAGAGTCGGTCGCCTCTGCCCGTGCCATCGGAACGAGGTCTCGTCCTTGGGATAATACATCCGCCACGCTCAAGAAACTCTAAGATATTCGTATAAACCCAAGCCAGTTTCTGAATATGGCTCTGAATACCGCATGCTGGCGACGCATTACATTCACTTTGTCGCATAAGGCTGGACGCTCCCGCTCGTTACTGATTTGTTAAAATGCCTGATACGATAGGTCGCCTATTCGATGAAGGTGGATGCGTTGCACTCACGCGTTTAAAGGGAGGCGCTCTTGTCTCTCTTGCTCATTACTATCACGCAGAATTTGTAAGCGTGGCTGGAGACAACTAATCTTCGCCTTTATATCCAAAACTCTATTCGGAGTTGATCCTTTCGTCTTCACTACAGCCATTGTTGGACTCTCACACTGGCCAAACCTGTCACGTGGATTGTATCTTGAACCACGCGACGTAAAGGGGAAGCGAACTTGTTTTGTTCTCTGGCGAGGCTGTACACTTCGCACGACAGCTGAGAGCCTCGCACCCAGATGGTGATTGACGTTGAGGGTCTCGTCCACCAGTACGACGAGACACATCCGATGTCTCAGAAGGGTCATCGTTAAACACGCGCCAATGGTGCTGGTAGAGAGATTGCACGCTAGCAATCGCATTGTGCATTTAGAATCGATGGGCGCCTTACCTCAGGGTGAAGGAAGGGAGCACACGTTCCTTTAGGTGCGTTGAGCTTTGTCGAGACAACACGGACATAAATCGCCCCACATGAGGTATTAAATTCTTGCCTCACGACACAGAATGCTAACTTGGCTTTTGCACCAGTTAAGGTTCGCTTTTCAAACCTAACACGAGCTGTTTAAGTATCTGAAGCCAAGCTTTGATCCTCATGTGCTGCACATTGAGCATTAAGGTGTTACGCCCGCAGCAACGAGCTTTTGTCTTCCTTAGTGCTGTCATTATACCAACGATTCTTCGGAAAAACATTCATTTACAAGTCTACTTCAGCTTAAAAGTTACTTGCGCTGATGTAGAGGCTGTGCAACAACCTTGCGTCGAATAATGAATTTCGATGATGTAGACTTGTCTCGCCTGACAGGTATCTCGAAATTCTTTCTAGTAATCCCCAATTCTTGTGTTCGGAGGCAAGCCGCAGCACATATACGTCTAGAGCCTCTTAAGCATTACTAACGGAAGTCTTGATACCTCTAAAATTGTCATTACGGCGGTAAAAGTCATCTCCGCATTAGCTAGAAAGCGAATGTGCAGTAGCAGGCGCGGGGGTAGGGCGTGTCAGCATGCTTATCCTCCGAACTAAAAAGGTACTCTTGTATTCACCATGAGTCTGACTGTCCGCTCGAGTCCTATTCGCAGGCTCTGATTCGGACGCCCCTATAGACTCGGGTATTCTAATTTTCTTCTTCTCGTATACCCACCGTCCGACTCCCCCCGAATGAAAAGCTTCACTTGGGAGCCGTCATCATTAGCCTGTGGTGACTCACCACGTGTATACTCTCTGTTAATATGTGTCTGTCTGACGAATAAAATTACGTGACTTCATGTCTTTTCTGCAGTTTCGTTGCAACTGGTTGCAGCCTCGTGACGGACAGAGGGACTGGAAACCCCAAGGGCTATGGTTTTTGTGAATATGCAGACGGAGCCACGGCTTTAAGTTCCATGCGGAACCTCAATGGGTACGAGATCAATGGACGCAACCTCCGGGTGGACTTTGTCGATGGTAAGGACAAGTCTGGAGGGTCCGAACGAAAACGTCACGAGACTGGAAGCCAATCTCGACATGGAGGAGCTACTGGTAGCAACTTTTGGGGCGAGGGCGGGCACCCGACGATGGGGACTGGAGAGATGGCGATCCATGCAATCGAGTCGGCCATCTCTCGGTTCGGACCAGTTAAGTTGTACGACATGTTGGTGCAGCTGAAGGAGCATGCAACACAGAATGATGGCGAACCCAGCGCTAACACATGCACTTGTGCAGAGTTTCAAGACACTACAGATCTCCATTCCGTCGTCAACAGAGACACAAGCAGTGTTGCTGGCCCCTCCTCCCATGATGCACCAACCACCACCCATGGCAGGAAGGATGATGCAGCAACCGCTACGGCCATCTATGGGCGGGTCTGCGGTATCTAGTTCTGGTATTCTAGGTATGGCCCCGCCAGGTGTTCGGTCGGCTATGCCAGGAGCGTCAGCAAAAGCTGGTGGTACGCGATGGAGTGCACGACCGGGGCCTTTGGCTGCTCAGGCGACGAGTGCCGCTATGACCAACAGACCCGCCCCTGCTTCTAGCCCGATGCACACTCAGTCTAAATCAAGCTTGATGCCCACACCAACTGTACCAGCACATTCGAGCGAACCGCCTAGCAGTAACTTGGCGCACGCTAGTCGCGATCCTTGTCGAGCAGGAAGAGGAGATCCACGTGCAGCCAAGAGACCGTATTCCGCTGGCGAAGGACCGGTAGCGCCTACACAAGGAGACCACGACGCTCTGAAGCGCGTCAAGTCCAGCGGTGCAGGCGGCGATAGCGCTTCAACTGGTCATTTTGACGCTATCGCTGAACTTGCGCGCAACACGACCCCACAAAACCTCGACATGCTGCCACCAAACGAACGGCAGATGCTGCTGGCTTTCATGCAGCAGAACAATATTCCATTTGGAACGGGACAAAGTGTTTATGATGGTATTCAAGTTCATCAGGGTGCTTAACGAAAGACTACAGCAACGAACTAATTCCTGATAAACAACCAACAAAGAATAAGGAGCTTTCTCTTATCAAATGTAGCGACTCTCGACTAGCAGTCTCTACTTCGTCAGCGTAGCTGACTAACCAGAGTTTCCCCCATCTACCGTTGGCCCTTTGTGCGTTAATTCTTGCTAGCACGTTTGCCTCCTTTCGGTGGAGATTGACCATTGGTCCTGATGCCTTTTCGTGCACCCGAGAAGCCCAAGATATCGTTCGTACTTTCCTTCGTGTTACTTTTGCCATGGCGACGTTTGCCCCCAAAGCCAAACCTTGCATCTTTGGCCTCTCGAGTCTTGTTCGTCCGTGGCTTTTTGCTCCCCTTGTCACGGTCTCCACCCGTGTGCTTCCGCTTGCCACTCACGATGGTCGAGTCAAGCTCGCCATCGTCACCATCCTTGAGACCGCTGCCGCTGCGTGTGTCTTTACCTTTTCTCTTCTTCCACTGCTTCACAGCTTCAACAGTGTCTCCTTCTTCTGCATGTTCCGTTCCTTGACCTTCTCTGCCTGCACTTCTTTCGCCACCTTCCGATGCGCCTGTGACTTCTTGCGCTCTTCGACTGCCGTGATCTTCTTCTGCTCATGAATAAGCTTGTCCTTGACTTTGTCCATGTGCGCGCCGCGCTTGAGCATCTCGGCGAAATAATCGTCCTGCCGCTTGTACGCCACGCCGTCTTGCTTCAGTCGGTCTTTCGCCACACGCACCATAGCGATTGAGTTGGTGTAAAACGCCACTTCCCGCTTCAAATCGTCATTCAAGTTCTCGAGCTCTAAAGGAGCGGTACACGTCTCCAGGGTCTCGATCCACGGCAGCGGCTTGACGTCCCACTCCTGCACCAGCGCCAGCAGCGCCTCAATATTGTACACACGCTTGTTCTCTGACTTCAAAGTGCTCAAAACAGTCGCTGCTTCCGCCTGAGCCTCAGCTACGAGCCGACGCTCGATTGCACCTTCTGCTTCAACGGTGTCGCTGTCATTAACATCGTCGTCGCTCTCACTCTTGTACCCACGATCAGCGACCGCAATGGAGCTGAGCGCTGGCGTCTCGAGGATCTCTTCCTCTGCCGCATCTTCGGCTCGCACTAACGCACTGATGGAGCGACGGGGCGAGTGCTGCTGCTCTTCCGGACCATCACGAGTGAGGAGGAGCTCCGAGGATGGACTTGAGGAGCGCAATGGGGACTTTAGAGCGAATTGATTGGCCAGGACGAACGCGACGTCACTCGGTTGGTCTCTCGCGTTTGTGACGTGGTTCACAAGACTTGATCGAGGCCTGTAGCCATTTCGACTGTTCGTCGTGTGTACGACCAACGACTGGATGAAGAAACGAAAACAGGCGCTTGTCGGACGAGGGACACATTGGTCGTACATGTCTTTTTGCTACTGCGAAGATAGAGGATGCTGAACGGAAGCTTGGCTTGAATCAACGGTAACAGCCCATGATTAATGGGCGATTGTCAAGTAGCTGCGAGAGTTGCATCGACGACGATTGCTACATTCATTAATGGTACGCTGACATGATTGTCCTCGTTTTGACTCGGATTGCAACGCCTACCACCACTGCAGAAGACGTTTTGGTCTAGTTATGCTTGCAGTGTCTGAACTCCTTCTACTTCTCAATCGCATCGTGCAAATGCTGCGCCTTTACTATCTGCATTTGAGGCCTCCAAACTCGACATCGCAACGTACACTTTCAACGTCGAAGTCTAACAATGATCTCCTTCATCTCAGATCCAGGCAAATGGTTTGCAATGTTCAATTTGATGCCTTGCTTAGCACTCCATACCGGTGGTAGCAATCAAATCCACACATTGCTGTTCTGCGCATTAAGTCTACCACCCAAAGCCCGTGGACCCAAATGCTCCGTTTCGAGTTGTAGACAGCAAATCGATCATAAACGCCAGGATGGCAAGGACCTCGTAGAATTAACGACGAGCGCAGACGCTTGAAGAACCTTTCAGATTCATCAGCAGCGCGTCCAGACGGTTACGAGAACATTCTCTGACCAAATCGGTAGAAGCGGGCGTCCAATGTATCCAGCATTGTGGCTGCTTCAACTGATGAGATTCGTGCCAGCTGCTCTACTGCAGCTGCGTCGGGTCAGACTCTATCGTCGCATTTGAAGGTGTAAAAGGCATGTTGTCACGTTCTGGAAAGGATTGCGGCACACCTGCTGTTTTAAATGAAAAAAGAACTGATCGAAAGAGTGGTACCGTAAGACTGTGGCGTGATTTTTGTGAGTAAAATGAGACGGAATTTCAAATCGTGCAGAGAAGAATCCTGTTGATGATGTACACTTTGTGCACGCTTAAACGTCTTGATGACGTTTGATTGTAATCGTTTTGAAACGGATACAAAAGTGAAACCTCAGCAGTCGGTTATCTGACAGGGAAACGACACAGGCGAGACCATCGTAGTGCTTCTACGATAAGTAGCTGCAGGCTCTTGCAGCTTTATTAACGACTATTATGCTTTCCAATTTATTTCCTGGCTACTAGTTGCCCTCCCTCTGCAATGTTACCTTAGAAAAAAACCAACCCCTTCTGTAATGGATGGGCGCAAAGGCTCAAAGAATCTTCGAGATTCAACGACTTTTCGACTAAAATCTTTCGAACACAATCCCGAAGGGCGGTAGGTAGAAACGAGCGCTCACAGTATCCACCAAGATTAGCGACTTAAAAGTACAGCTCGTGTCAAGTGGTCTGCTCCTTCTCCGTCAGATGACACTTGTACCGTTCAATCGCATAAATAAACTCCATTCAGGCAGAGATTGCAACATGCTGATGGCCAATACGAAAAGCAGCGTTGTAAAGATGTGGGACACAAAGGTTGTGCCATTGTATTCTGTAACATTAAGTTGTAGAGAATGTCGAGGAGACGTGGCTGTATTTTTAGCCAGCTGGTCGCACCCCCTAAATCCTCGTCTTGTTCACTCATAGATCCGACTGAGCACACACGATGGTGATTCTCTTTTTTTATGGACGGGTTAGATAGGCGTTCCTCATTCTATCGTTACATCTCTACCGCGCACGTATATCTCTTTACCTTGCGTGTTGCTTTGCAAAATCAAGAATTGCTGCAACCCGCGGTCGCAGAGCCAATCATCGCAACTTCGCAATCTCGTCTTGTATGCGCAATGCAACCACGATGCTTCTGCGACAAGACTTCTCTTCTGTGTTGTATGGCTGGATCGACGACTTTCACTCGTCGCATGACCACGACTGCGCGTGTACAGCACATAAGTGTCGAGAATGCAGTCCTGGTTCATTCCTGATTTTGCCACGTACGTCGCAGCAGGGAGAAGACCGAACAAAACAAAGCCAAGCCAAGCCTACGGTACAATGCCACTCAAGTCCGCCCTCTGAGTCGTCCTTGCTGTCGTCGCCTACGGGGGTGTTTTCGATGTCATGCATGCTCAAAGTGATGACAATGTAGATGTCTGCCCAGGTCACATGTGCGAACCTAAATGTAATTATGTGTGTAACGGGGCACCCTGAAGCTTGTACTGGTGACAGTACAAGCTACTTATTCTGATAACAGAATAAGGCGGTGCCTCGTAACTTCACGTACACTCGTACGTGCAGAGGAAGACGGTAAGAAGAAGCGAGTACTCGGTTAGAGTAAAAAGTAGAACTGTATTTATAATAGTTAATGTCTGCAATAAATCACTATTTATCTTCATCTAACTATGTCTAAATACAAATGTGTAAATCAGTTATCTGCTCACCACTCATTGCGTGCGTCTGTCGTGGCGCGTCTTCGTTGGTTGATATAATGGCCTATATCAACCAATTAGGAACTACTTGGAAGTGCTACAGAATATTTGTCCTTATGACAATATTCTGAGAATATAACTCTTATAGTTATATTCTATTAACAATTTCTTATAAATTGTTATGTAACGATTCACCCCGTTACATCACCCCCCTTAACCATCAGTCACTTTAGTGACTGATTGACTAAATGGATACTCGTCCCAAATCATTTGGGACGGGGTTTGCACTTGTTGGTCCGCGTCCACTTTCCAACATCTCATCGCATGGTAAACAAGCCCATGCGATGCGCGAGCAAGGCCGCCGAGAGCGCGTCTGCACGTCTCTGTGCGGACGCCGAAGCAGAAACTACAGCAACTGATGTCCCATCGGTTGCTGAATCGACTCAGCCTGTATCACCTGGTGATGCAGGCGCTGGTCATGAAGACACTCGTGTCTTCACAGAGTACGAGCTCGGTGTCTCGTACTCTCCTGATACGGATGACGGATCCGTATCGACGGCAATTGAATCCAAGCCGCCTGCCAAGCGTGGCATGGACGATGCTTTGCGTCGCAGCATCTTTGGTTCATCTGATGAGTCAGATGAACCATCGCCGAAGCGAAGGCGCTCGAGGTCGCGAGACTCGGGCGCTAATAGTGGTGTCGTTTCTCCAATGGACACCACTTCACAGCGAGGTGCCAGTACTTCTGTCGGCACGTCGCAGGAAGAGCGGGACCGCAATGTGTTGCGTCTCGCTCCAGAAAAAAGAAGGCATGGATGCCTCCAAAATCTGTCATGGATCACTTGTCGGCGACGACGAGTGATCGTTATCGAACACGATTGTTCGATTCGTCAAGGATCCATCACCTTGACCCCAGCGCGAAAGACTATCGCGCTGAACATGAGTTCTTCATCGATGCTTTCTTCAGACATCGATGGTACAGTGGGAATCACAAACGTGATGGTCCCTCACTACTTCAGGCGTGGAACGCCTACATCCATAACCTCGAGGATGTAGGTCGTGACGCTTGGAACAACAAACTTATCAAAGCTCGTGATAAGTTTGAAAAGCGAACCCCGACAGGTGCACGCTACAAGCTGCATCGTCTGTCAAGGGAGAAAGGATTACCCTGCCTCTCTTGGGGAGACTCGTGCCCATGTTGTGTGAACAACTCTGCACGAGCACCTAAGGAGGCTTACCTCCTTACCAGCCCGTGGTGGCGCGTACGTGTCTCTACTGAGATGTACGAAGGGATTGACAACCTGAAATCCCTTTACGACCGTGCCGGGAAGACTTTCTCCGGCGGTCCTTCTGCGGCACAGGATGTGCCGCGTCGTACTGCTCGACCAGACCCAGTACGTCAACCATCAATTGGGAGCGGGGCTCCCAAGAATCCCAGGACGGGGGATAGCCGCGCCACCGGACGAGGTAACTCGTCCGACGTCCGTTCACGTCGCGGTGGTTCAACAGCTGCTCAACTAGATAGCGCTGGCCACCGCGAGAGTCCTCTAATGGAGGTGGAGGAGGAGGAAAGACGCTCTCCACACGATCATGTGGATCGGTGTGTTCCCGAGAGCTTCTTTGATCGCGTAACGCAAGGGTTACGCGACGATCTCGAGCATGAGCGGAATAGGCGTCTCCAGATGGTGGACACTGCCTCGAAGCATCGAGCTGAGTTTGCCTTTGCTCAGCTTGAGAACGAGAGAGCTCTGACATCTCTTCGTGACGAGCTAAGGGTAGCTCGTGGGATTGTTGATCGGTCTCGGGATCAGATAGCTGCTCTTCAGACCCTTGTTGATGCCCACCATCGGGAGCACAAGGCTCTCTGCGAGATGCTTGAGCGCAAGGGCGTTCTTCATCGGAAGAAGCAGCGTACTGATGGTACGGCTTAAGCCGACCAACGTAAAACGTGGGATGCGTTCGCATCTTACGTGGTAACTCGATCGTGTATGCATTGCCTAGGCGGTGCAATACACGAAATGGGCCAATGTACTTGGGTAGTAGTTTACTGCTACCCAAGTTAGTCACTACATGTTTTGGTAGATTAACCGTAGACAGTAGGACTAAGTCACCTTTATTAAATAAAAGAGTGTTTGCCCTTCCATTCTTGTCAGCGTTTTGCTTTTGCTTATCCACCGCTTCGGCGATGGAGTCTTGCACAAAACGGACTACCGTTTCACGAGCCAGTATGAACTCATCTGATGACTCGTTAGCTTCAGTGTGCTGTGAGCGCACTGCAGCGACAACAACCTTTTCTTCAGTGAGGGCTTCCGCACTCTCACTGGGATCATTGTCTTCAGTGAGGGCTTCCGCACTCTCACTGGCATCATCTTCTTCGATATCGATGTTATCGATATCGGCATCAAACGCAATGACTTCTTCGTCAGAGCGTGATGAGCGTGAACCAAATCGGTTTTTGCTCGCGCGAGTCCCTCCCCCCTTAAACCAGAGTTACACTCTAGTAAGGTGGGTACACGCGGATGGCGCAAGCCATTCACGTAAAACGGTGTATGTGTCGTGGACGCATGCACCGAGTTGTTGATGGCAAACTCTACCATTGGCAAAAACTCACTCCAACTCTTAAAGGAGTGTACGTATCCTCGAAGTATCTCTTCAAGGACACGATTGGCACGTTCCGTCTGACCATCTGACTCTGGGTGATCAGATGTTGACATCTTCAAGCGCGTTCCGAGTGATTTGAACACGGAACGCCAGAAATCAGCAGTGAATCGTGGATCTCTGTCTGATACGAGTTCACGGGGCAACCCATGAAGTCGGAAGATGGTGTCAATAAAGACACAAGCACAGCCACTTGCCGTGATTGTCTCTGGTACAGCCACAAGGTGTACCATTTTGCTGAATCTGTCAACAAATACGAGAATACCCGTATTCCCGCGTGCGTCTTTGGGTAACCCGAAGACGAAATCCATTGAGATGGATTCCCAGCACTCAGCCGGAACCGGTAGAGGCTGTAAAGGTGCACGCAGTGAAGGACTTGACTTCACTCGTTGGCAGACTTCGCATGCGCGAACATACTTTCGCACAAACTGATACTGGCGGGGCCAGTAAAAGTCTCGACTTACCGTGAGATATGTTTTCTCTCGGCCACGATGTCCTCCTATAGGAGCATCGTGATACTCGAACATGATCCGCAAACGCAGATCAGTATCATCTGGAATGACAACACGTGGTGTGTCACCAGAAACGGCTGTATAATACAGTAAACCGTTACGAGTAGTGTATCGATCTGATGCAGATCGATACGCAGACGACAATCGTTTCAACGATTCTCGAGATGGTTGGGAGAGATGTGACAACAACTTCACTATCTCACCATCTTGGGCGTATGCCCGCCTCACATCATCATACAACGTTGTAGATGGAACTGAGGACGTCATAACCGCAACAGTGACTGTCTCACTGTTGGGTTTCGCGACTGTTTCAAAGTCGGGACGACGTGAGAGTGCATCAGCGACGACATTAAGTCGTCCTGGTTTGTACTCGACCGTAAAGTTGTATTCTGCAAAGAATGACAACCACCGCGCCATTCGTTGTGAAAGGTGCGGGCTGTTCACTGCCGTGCGTAAGGACGCATGGTCAGTGTAAACAACGAAGGGTCTATCTCCTAATAGATAGACTCTGAACTTCGCGAGTGCATACTTCATGGCAAGGAGTTCCTTGTCATGCACTGGATAGTTCCGCTCAGCTGGTTGCAGCTGACGCGACTGATAGCAGACGACGCGTTCAACGCCTTCAAGGTCGTACTGCATTAATGCACAGCCGATTGCGAAATCGCTGGCATCACAGACCACATGAAATGGCCTGTCCTGATCGGCTATTGCTAGGACTGGGGATTGTATCAAGCTCTGCTTGATACCCTCAAAGGAGCGTTGACATTCAGCGTTCCATAACCACCTCTCGTTCTTTTTCAACAAACGAGAGAGGTGTACAGTCATCTCGGCGTAATTGCGTGAATACTTATGCAAATACGCCGCTAGCTAAGGAATTTTCGAAGACCTTTGACATCGACCGGCACAGGCCAGTCGGTGATCGCCTTGATCTTTTCGGGATCAGGACGTACACCGTTCTTACCAACGATGCACCCAAGAAGTGGTATTTCGCTTGCTGCAAATATACACTTCTTGAGGTTTGCATACAATTGATGCTTTCGCATGATTGTAAGAACTTGTCGGACGTGGTACTTGTGAACCTCAACGTCCGACTTTCCATCCATAGCTCGACTATGGATGAATACGTCATCGAAATAACTCGGCGCGAATTCTCGTACTGGCCTCAACAGATGTGATACACACCTGTTGAACGTGGCAGGGGCATTACTGAGCCCTTGTGGCATTACTAGCCATTCCCAGAGCATGCCGCTAGGCGTGCTAACTGCGGTATAGGGTATATCCCGTTCCCGCATTAGGATTTGATAGAAGCCATCCATCAAATCCATGGACGAAAAGATGGTACTCTTTGACATACCATCAATGATTACGTCCTTCCTCGGTATCGGCGTCTGAGCCGGTACCGTTGCAGCGTTCAATTTGTTAAACGCGTGCACTATCCGCCACCCTCCTGTTGCTTTTCGCACACAGAAGGTCGGAGAGCTATGTGGGGAAGTTGATTCCCTCACATGGCCCGCTGCTAAACGATCGGCAAAGAACTTGTCGATCGCAAGTACTTGTTCACGAGGCAGTGGCCACTGCTTCATGACACAGTACTTCGAGCCTGGTTTAAGCTCGACTTCGTGTCGAATACCTTTATCCTTCGGTAATTCGCACGGAACAGTTTCAGGGAATACATCCTTGAATTCAACCAAATCTTCATAGAGAGGATTTTCCTTGAGCGATTCCCATGATTGGGACTCATATCGCTCAATTCGTGTCTTTTCATCTAGGACACTCTCGTCCATAGATGAACTACTGAGAACTCTCTCGTTCTCAGTAAACACTGTTGCTGACCTTATGTCGGTTACATACTCGTCGTCAGCGACGAGTATGCAGATCTGCTTGACTTTGCCACTACGCAGATCACGCAAGAACCTTTTATGTTCGAGCGTTGGCAACTGAGTGATCTCCGAAGTTAACTTCGGAGGCGCAATCAGATCAAGTGTATAAGCGCCTACACATGATCCGTTATTGACTATGACATTCAATGTCTCTGTCATTTCCTGGGGACTTATTCCCTCAGGCTTCGAAGGACTTATTCCTTCGTCTTCCCGGGGACTTATTCCCGCGGGTTTCGGGGAACTTATTTCCGCCGTATTTGTAATCTTGGGACTTATTCCCTTTACTTCCTCTAGCTGGGGTTGCGCAACCACAGCGAGATCCTCTACGAAAGACTCTCCAGTCGATCTAGGATTATCGTTTCGCTTAACCTGAGCGATCGATTGTTTCTCTTCTAGATGTTCCCCTCTAGGGATACATCTTTGTCCCAGTCCACCCGACTTATTCGAGTGGTGGACCTTCGGCGCAGCCTGTGTTTCCTCACAGCCGCCGGAACTTTGCTCCGAAGTGTAACCGTTTGGTACACTAAGGTTTTGTGCAGTCGTACTAACGACCGTACCACAAGTGAGGCCATCGCACTCACTCGTAGTACATCCACACGCTTGTGGACGCTCCAAAACGTTCATCAGATGGCCATCTGATGAACAAGCGGCAGAGCATCGTTACTGTCCGATGTTGCCAGTTTACCCGTGGTTCGTACCTTCTGAGCCACGGTATTCCAGGATGACATCAAATTTGTCATCCAAATCCAATACGATAAAGTCATCGTCGTATTGGGTATCTTCTAGCGTATAGTGAATCTTCACTATACGCTTCATATTGGTTACGGATGCGCCTGTCGCAAGACGTACCGTCATCCTCGTAGGAGGTGTGTCACATTCACTGAATTTAAAGTGACCATCTTCTAGCGATTGGCGTCGCACAAAATTGTTGGACGCCCCACAATCGACTAGAGCTCGAAGGGACAACTTATTCGTCACTTCGAGTTTCAAGGTAATGAGTGAGATCTCATTACCTAGAGCAGCAACGCACAATGTCTGTGTGTTGGGAGCAACCTTCATCAAGAGGCCTACTAATTCTCTTGACGTTGCTGGATCAGTAGGGTGCTCCGCACCTACTGATCCTGTCCGTTTTTTGACGGTCCATCCCGTTGTTGCGTCTTTGCACCAACTGCGGACCCTCGTCCCTGCCCCTTTCTCATGGGTGGACGGTCACTACGCCCAGTGTCGCGAGACACTGGACGAGGGGCACTACACTCGTAAGCGTAGTGTCCTGTCTTTTGACATCTGTTGCATCTCTGCAACTTCTTGTAGCCTGTAGAGCGAGCCTTCTCGCTCTCTACATAACAGAGTTCCATCGGCTCTGGACCCCCGTTGTCATATCGTCTCGGTTGACGATATGATGTCGAGCTGGCGCGAGCCTGTCTCAGACTGAAGTCTTCCTGCTCCGCAATTGAAATGGCTTGTTCTAGTGAATCTAGTTCAAGCCGGAACAGGTGAGTCTTGACGGGACCATCCGCAAGACCCTGCATGAACACCGAAACCAACGTGTGTTCATCCACCGGATTGGAACTTATACAACTCGTGAGATGTCGTATATGTTGAGCGTAAGCGTGCACATCACGCTTACCCTGCTTGAGCTTCAAGAGTTCGGTTCGAGCTCTGAACTCAGCTCTAGGCGGTTCAAACGTTTGTCTGAGCCGCGACTTGAAGACTTCCAACGACCCAAACGCATATGGGTCGTGCAGCTTGAGCCCCAGTGCCCAAGTCTTGGCACGTCCTGCCAGATTTGACTGGGCAAATGCAACTTGCATATCCCCGTCGTCGATGCGACGCGCCCTTATAGCGTCGTCCAATTCGACGAACCATCTCAAGAGGGAGTCT